GCCAAGTAAAGGCCAAGGATCACATGATCCTGACGTTAGAGGAAGGTGGTACTGATGAGGTCCCGTATGATCAGATTGAGTAGGGCCTCGAAGATGATGGCAGTAGTGTGGGGCAGGGGAGGTCTTACGCTCTGTCACGACTGGATGTAGGCCGCAAGGAGGAGGAGGAGGCCAGGGCCAAAGGGGCCAGGCCATGGGAGGCCGAGGACCGGGCGCAYAGGGGGTTGGCGGACAGGGAAACCGCCAAGCGGGATGTAGGGGTCAAGGTCCCCCGTTAAATCGCCAGGGTAACCGGTCCCCACAACGAGGAGGTGGAAGGGCACCTCAAGGAGGATGGCACCCAGGCTTGCCGCAGGGCAGGCCATGGGAAGATCTGGCTTGGACCAGCGCTTATGGCAGGAACGCGTGAACCTGGGTCAGTGCGTATTCTGTAGTGACCCGACGCACGTAATTAAATTTTGTCCAAAGTATAAACAGGCCCGTTGGGCTGCTCAGCAGGCAAAAGGCAGCCGCCAGTAGGGGTCGCAACTGCCGCTACTTCCATGCCATGTGGAGAAGTGAGCGAGCGCGAACAAGACACTCCCAACCCACATGAGCCTATGGCAGAGGTTGCAAGCCCGTGCCTAGGTAGCTGTCCAGAGACTGCTTGTGTTAGCGTCTCTTTAGGCACGTCCCTCACAGTTGTGGCAGAAGAGTTAAAGGAGAGAATGCCTGCCTGGGCCAAAATGAAAAGGGAGAGTATAAATAAACTGATTTTGGTAGACATAGAGGTGATCAGAAGTAGAGTAGGGACCCTTATAGACTTAGGGGCTACCCGTAGTTACATTAGCCGTAGGGCGCTGAAGAAGCTGAGGCTAGGACTAAAGGTCCAAAAGCTAGCAGACCCCATAGTCAGTGTCCTCGCAGACAACCGCACGATGCACGTTGAGGACTATGTAGAGGGAGTCCAGGCATATTTTCGCCTAGAGAAGGATGGGAAGGTGGAGAAAATTCTCCATTCCCTGACTCTCCTCGTGCAGGATGACCTTCCTTTCGATATAGTGTTAGGAATGGATTGGGAAGAGACAGCAGGGGCTACACTTCATTTGAGATAGCATGAGTGTAGGCTCCCTAGTCCGTCAGGCGAGGTTAAGACTGCCCGCTTGTTCCATATGTCTGGTGTAGATAACACCTTGGCACATTGTTGTCTCAGTGCTCCCGCGTTCGCGCGATTAGTAAAGAAGGAGCAGTTAGAAGACCAGGTCTTTGTAGTTTATGTTAGACCTGTCACCGAGGCTTAGGAAAATGATAGTTCCACAGATCCAACAATTGCCAAGCTGCTGGAAGAATTTAAAGACTTGACTGAGTCGCCGACAGGAGTAGTGTCGCGACCCATCCAGCATAGGATAGAGATAGAGTCTGACAACAAAACTCCTAAGGGTGCAGTCTACAGGATGTCCCCTAGAGAGTTAGAGGAGCTTCGCAAACAGTTAGACGAGCTCCTTGAGAAAGGTTGGATCAGACCCAGTTCGTCTCCTGTTGGAGCACCCGTTTTGTTTGTCCCCAAGAAGGAAGGAGAGYTGAGAATGTGTATAGACTATAGGGGTTTGAATGCGATCACCATGAAGAATGCTGAGCCGCTGCCCAGGATAGACGATCTTTTAGATCGGGTGCAGGGTTGTAAGTATTTCTCTAAGATAGACTTAAAGTCCGGATACCATCAGATAGAGGTTCATCCTGATGATCAGTACAAGACTGCATTCCAGACTAGATATGGGCATTTTGAGTTTATATTGATGCCCTTTGGACTGACCAACGCGCCAGCTACTTTTCAGCGTTGCATGAATGACCTGTTTAGACTGTGGTTAGATAAATTTGTGGTAGTCAACTTAGATGATATCCTAGTCTTTAGTAAGACCCTCCAGRAGCACCAGGGTCATCTGAGGCAGGTCTTGGAGAAGCTTAGAGAGGCGAACTTCAAGATCAATGCAAAGAAGTGCGAGAGGGCCAAGACGCAAGTCTTGTACTTGGGCCACGTGTTGGACAGAGATGGCATTAAGCTAGAGGACAGCAAGATAGCGGCGATTAGAGATTGGCCGATGCCCCGCACGTTGACAGAGTTGCGGTCGTTCCTAGGCCTAGCTAACTACTACAGGAAGTTCGTGAGGAACTTCTCCACTATCGCCGCTCCCTTGCGCAGGTTGTTGAAGAAAGCGACAATCTGGCAATGGGATAAAGATTGTACGTCTGCGCTAAAAAAGTTAAAGCGTGCGTTAATAGAATATCCTGTCCTCAAAGTAGCGGATCCGTCCTTGCCATTTGTCGTTACCACGGACGCAAGTTAGTATGGGATAGGCGCCGTGTTGCAGCAAGACGACAACAATGGCTATAGACCCGTAGAGTTCATGTCAGCGAGGATGCCTTGTGAGAAGGTCGCTACCTCCACGTACGAGAGAGAACTCTACGCTCTCAGGCAGGCTTTAGACCATTGGAAGCACTATCTGCTTGGGAGGCACTTCAAAGTGTATTTTGACCATGAGACACTTCGTTGGCTAAAGACCCAGGCCAAGATGACACCTAAGTTGACTAGGTGGGCCGCAGAGATAGACCAATTCGACTTTGAGCTCAAGCCAGTGAAGGGCAAATACAATGTTGTGGCGGATGCTCTAAGTAGGAGATCAGACGACTTTGGAGTCGTAGTACATTACCTGGATATAGGGAGAGACCTGCAAGAGAAAGTGAAGCAAGCGTATACGCAGGACCCTATCTATAGCGACCTCCTAAAGAGAGTTAGAGAGACCCCAAAGACCGAACCAGATTACCGCACTACAGACGGGTTGCTGTTTGAGAAGACTAATGTGTTTGACCGCCTGTGCGTTCCCAACAGCGAAGAGATTCGTAGTCTAATTCTAGGGGAATGTCACGATACTGAGGGACACTTCGGTTGGGAAAAGACGTTAGCCAATCTGATGCGTGCGTACACATGGCCAGGGATGAAGAACGACTGCATAGAGTATGTCCGCAGTTGTAAAGTGTGCCAGAGGAATAAATCTACTACAAGCGCGCCCCTAGGTCTTCTCAGACCCTTGCCTATTCCGGATCAGCCGGGAGAGTCGGTATCCATAGACTTCATGGACACGCAAGTCAAGAGCAGACATGGTAAGATCCAAGTCATGGTCATAGTCGACCGTTTTAGTAAGTATGCAGTTTTTGTTCCCTTGCCTGCAGAGGCACGTACAGATTTAGTAATAGAGAAGTTCTTTGACTTTTGGGTTAGTGAGAATGGAATCCCATTGTCAATAGTTAGTGATAGGGACAGTCGTTTCACCAGCCAGAACTGGGAAGAACTAATCAGAGTCTACGGATCCAAGTTGTTAATGTCGTCCACCTAGAGACTAACGGTCAGACAGAACAAATGAACAAGACCCTACAGAAAGTTCTGTGCATGTACATTAGACCAGATCAGATTAACTGGGATGAGATGTTGCCTAAGGTAGCTAGTG